AGCGGCGTCAAGTCCGTCTTCATACTACTAAGCGGGTTATAGGAGTCTGGCGACGGAGATAGTTGATCAAGATGTTATCATGCAAATGTTACGAAATCAGCAACGTCAAGTGGATCAACAGCAGAAATTATTTGAAGTTCACGCACGAAATTTTTCAGCACACAAATCAGAGGTTCCAGGGGCAGAGTCATACTCGACTCAACGTTGCATTGGCCAACGGAATTCAAGAATTCAGTTACAACCCAGACAGTGGCAGTACATTTTTAGCTTGGTACAAAAGATATGAAGGCATGTTTATTGTTGACGGTTTAGCATTGGATGAATCAGCAAAAGTACGGCTGTTAATGCACAAACTTGGATGTTCTGAACACACAAGAGATTGTAATTAATTTCTGCCAAAACACCCAAGAGCTTGTAGTTTGCAAGAAACCGTGGATAAGCCTAGCATAAATTTTTGGAGAGCGGACACCTATATATAACGTTCGTTATAACTGTCTAAATCTTACCAGAGCAGAAGACGAAGACACTATGACATATACAGGTAGAATGAACAGAGAATGTGAAAGGTTCCAATATAAAAGAATGCCAGATGATCAGTGCAAAGTATTGGTTTCTGTACCTGACATAACATCGTCTACAGATTCCGATATCTGAACAAAATTACTATCGAAACTGGACTCTAGCTGGCCTTTCTTTGCACGATTTAACCAGGGAATATCTCAGAATGATGAACCTAAAACGTGATTCAGGAATGTTACAGACAAACAACTGTTATTCAGACATGACTTCTGTTGATAAAATTACCAAATCAGACGTGGAACAGAACAGATTTCCAAAGCAGAGGTTGGTTTCAACGACCACCAACACCATGCTGGAATTGTGGCATCCGGTACTTCGCAGGCTGTTGTGAATTTCGACACCATAAATGTCAAAATTGTGGCACATTAAGTCACAAGGAGGGACACTGTGTCCGTTCGTTCAAGCGGCACCAGTCAACCCGATCCAGAAGGCAGTCTAATCTAGTGTTCAGTACATAGTTCTCGTGGGAGGCATGGCCGAAAGTTTGTCACGTTATTAATTAACACTTTGCCAGTTACCTTACAAATCAACCCTGCTTCCGACATAAAAATCATTTCATATTCTACTTGGAAAAGCATTAGAGAACCGGAGCATTGTGTTACAAAACGTATCGCTCGGAACGCTTCGGGCAAACCAATCGTCTTTTTAGAACAATTAAACTGGGAGTTCCCATTTTCAAACAATAAATGCAGTGGATCATGTTATATTGCAGCAGAAAATGAACTAAATTTATTAGGACTTGAATGGACAGATGTTACAATTATGGGGTATTCCAATCAGTTCAATTTGTGTTTCACAAACTCAGAGCATGCGAAATGTGTCTTCAAGTGATGTCGCAACTGTTGATACAAAAGCGAAAAATGACATTTTGGCAAACTTGCAAGAAAAGTATGCTAGTGTTTTCAAACCAGAACTTGGATTGTGCACCAAAGTTCGAGGTACTTTGTATGTCGCATCTGAAGCAAAGCCAGTATTCCGTCCTAAAAGGTCAGTACCCTACTCAGCCATCCCATTGGTTGATGCAGAGTTGAATCGCTTGAAGAAATTGGGCGTGCTAACCAAGGTTACTTATTCAACATGGGCTACTCTCATCGTGGTAGTTACGAAGGTCAGTGGCACAGTACGTATTTGGGGTGATTTTTCAACTGGTCTAAGTGATGCACTTCAGCATCACCAATATCCATTGTCAATTCCAGATGATTTGTTCGATCAATTAAATGGTGGCAAAATATCTTCAAAAGTTGCCCTTTCTGATGCTTACTTACAAATCGTTTCATAAGGAATCAAGACAGTTTTTCCCTATTAATACTCATAAGGGTCTATATCAACACAACAGACTGCAGTTTGGAATTAAGTGTGCTCCGGCATTTTTTCAATAAGTAATGGACACAATGCTAAACGAGCATCAAGGGACACTACTGCTCATTCAAGATGATTTACATTCCCTTGAGTCATGGTGCTGCACACGGGTGATGAACCTCTCGGCTAAGAAATCAAAGCATCATGTTTTACGGCTGCTGCATCCCCGAAGCATTTACCGCCCTAAGCAATGAAGGCGTCCCTACACAGTTGTCCACGCGAGATCTTGGCACTAGGTACTCGTCTACTTTCAATTTCTCCGAACAGACCCCATACCAAGTAGCACGTGGCAGACAGTCTATGTTCAATATATCAAACAAAATACACACAACTCGTGCTAGAGTTGAGCTTTTCAAGCTATTCATTCGCTCCATCCTCGAATACTGCAGTATAACATGCGGAAATATGAGAAAGAGTGACAGAATTGCTGTGGAGCATCTGCAGAGGTCATTCACTGAACACCGGATTGGTAAACACACTGCAATGAGTTATCGAGAACGTTGCAATGAACTTCATCACGAACCATGTTGGAATCGGCGATTGAAGCACAACTTGTTGCTGCTTTTCAACGTGCTACCCAAAAAGACCTATTCCAACCTGCCTACACTCAATTTACAACATTGCTCAAATCGAGCGCTTCGCAACAAAGATTTTATACTGAATATACCGAAGGCTAGAACGAACGTCTGCTCTAATTTCTTGCTGGTCAGATATAGCTATCCGTATCATAAACTATAAGTAACATGCAGGTCATGTGGCAACATTAAGAAGCAGACTTGCCAATTACCTTGATCTAACTAGCCTTAGCTCTATATTCACATGGGAAAAATCCATCGATGAGCTATTCCAAGTGGGTCCCAAAAACATATAACACCAATGTTTTCATAACTAGGCTTTGGCCTCAACCATCCGCAAGAATGTTAATATATGAAACGCATATCCAAATACTCCACTTACGCATGTCACCCATGCAAGAGCATGGATTCTTCTGTACAAATTGATCTGTGCCGCTATAGGCATAGTTTCTGTCATCAAGAGAAATATACGTATTATTATTATTTCATCAGTTGAAGTTGATGCTGACATAAAATCCATCTTTGAGGAGTCCATACGAAACTTACCAGTTACGTACAATGACATTTGTGAGTCTACGCGATCAGATAGCTGTTTACAACGAGTCAGCTTTCATTTTCGCAACGGTTGGCCAAGGATGTTATCAGACGTGGAAACTAAACAATATTTTGTGCGTAAGGATGTACTAACAATAATGAACGACTGCTTGATGCTAGCAGATCGCATTGTGATCCTCAAAAATCTCAGAGTAAAAGCGACTCAAATGCTTCACGCCGGACACCAGGGAATTACACGAATGAAACCACTTGTCAGATGTTATGCTTAATGGCCAAATATTGATAAGGTTATGGAAGGCGTTGTTCGTAGTTGTTCCAAATGTGCACAGGCTGCGAAAGCCCCCAGCAAAGTTGACTTTCATCCTTAGTCGAAATCAATTGCCCCCGGTATGGGGATTATGCAGGCCCACTGAACAATCAATATTTTCTGATTATTGTTGATTTATACTCAAAATGGCCAGAAATAGTTGGTGTCACTCAACCAATGACAGCTTTAACGATCACAGTTCTTCATCGTCATTTCGCACAGTTTGTTTCCTCAGAAAACTCGTCATTGATAATGGTCCACAATTCACATTGAACAAGTTCAACCGATTTTGTCAATCCATGGTTGTACAACAGATACGCAGTCCCATATGTCATCCCCAGTTCAATGGACAAACGGAGATTCGTGGATACATTCAAACGTGCTTCCTTTGAACTTAAATGAGAGGGAGATATTGCTACAAACTTGGATGTATTCCTACGCAGGTATGGTTCAACACCGAATCCTGCTCCCCAAACCAACAATCACCGTCGGATCCTTTTATTGATCGACGTTTACGCATCCCGTTAGATACCATGTTTCCACCAAAGGAGACTAATGAGTGTGACCAGAAGATGGCAGATCAGTTCAATCCTAAGCACGGTATTCGCATGAGATATTTTCATCCCAGTGACCCAGCTTTGTGTACAACTTCAGAGATGCACATAAACCTTGGATTCCCGGAATTGTCAAAGCAAGAATAGGAAATGTCCTGTATGAAGTGAAATGTCAAAACCAATTGCCTACACGTCATGTGAATCACATCATAGATATACACCCGAATAAACAGCAAAATGACACTAGAGATTCCCTTACACATTCTTTTAGATACATTTGCTTTGCCCAAGCCAATGGAACCACAACCAGAGCAAGGCGTTGGTGTGAGCACAGAAGTAGAGCTTGAACGAAGACATTCCACACGTACACGCCCCCTAATTCAGCGACTCAGTGCCATTCCAAGATCTTATGTGTAACAGTTTATTTTTAACCGGGAAAGGCGTTAGAGAAATCACAGATGTCAGCCACATAGACAGCACGTGAAAATCAATCGATTTCCAGCGAGCGTGTTTAGATGTTAGCTTGGAACTTTAAGCCAACCACATGGCATGTGAGCATCGTTTGGTTGCGACCAAGTGTGCAGTTAACGTCTTTCCCTGACAGTTGGTTGTAACTTCAGTTGTGCAAGTACACGTTTTCAAGCAGTGTCAATTCTGTCTTCCTACTACTAAGCGGGAGTTATAACAGAGATGATCACTAGGCTTCAGGTGAATAGATTGCTTCGTCTCATACAGTGAGCTGATCATCATGACGCGACATAGCGGTGATGTTTGTTACCGTGCTTCAAAATCGCAAAGGATAAAGGAAACAATAGTTCCTCGTTATGTTGTGCATCTGCCATATAATTCGACTAACTCATACCGAGTTGTCCAAGGTGAGGCATCCTACATCGTTATGAAGATGATCCGAAACAAGAATAATTAACAACAGAAGATGTAATCAGCACAGAACAACTTCGCGTAATGTTTCCTTGATAACTACTGAACCAAGCGGGTCTAAAGCACGTATTCTAATAATGATATATATTCGGACAGGAGGCAACGGAGATATGCTTCAATGCCTTATGCCACCGGCCTTTCACACCAAATCCTTTTCATGTGATGTCTGTGGCTGTAGTCTACCCATGACACCTGTCAGCTCTAATGTGATTTATCAGAGGATTTGCTTGTATATAATGTATTTCGGTGGTTGTGAATCGGTTGGGCCAAAATGTACAATGTGTTTGAATGCCCGCCAAAGTAGTGCCATTAGTTGGAACAAAATAGTCGGTAGAAAAAACAACGAAGTACGCCGTAGAGGGTAACGGCGCGCAACATGGGGTGATCGCAATTTCATCGGTTCCCTTTTCGTAGACCCTTGAACACTGCCATCCGACTACGACCGTCTTTGTCTCCACCGGGAGTTTCAACTGAGGAGGAAGCTAAGCGTGTTGAACCAGACCGACCGTCTAGTAGGTCCGGATGCACTAGTCGATCATCCAGATCCATCCGTGGACCGTCCATCTGAGAACAGAAGAAAAAGAGAAAACCAAGAATTTATACACGGTGAGGTAGCAATATCATGTAAGTTAAGCAGCGATGGACCACATTTAATGGAATGTAAAAAGGGATCACTGCACGACACGCTCGCTGCCAGTGGGGTAACATTGTCTAAAGATTCATTTATAAGTGGGGAGCTAATAAATCACCAGGTTATTGGGGGCAAATAAAGGCGATGAAAAAGATGAAGAAAAAAATAACTCATGCGCAGTACGCTGGCGAGACGCATAGACACTTCGATGCCACTCAGCCACCTTCCATCGCACGCTGGCAGGCGATAATGTGGGGTTGCACGCACCTATGTGTGACAGGTTGATACGCTTAGCGGCCGATCAACAACACAGGCAAGATTTCTTGTGACAGGCCGACACACTATGCAGCTGATCAGGGACGCAGACGGTGATGGAAATCGATACGCTTAGTTGTCAGTCCCCAGCACAGACTGTGAGACTAGCAAGCAAACGGAGGATGCAGTGCTTCGTATGGCGGTTAATAGGCTAGACAACCAATCAGATGCATGGACGGTCCACGGGCAAAAGACCGCTGTTTGGGCGGACGAAAGAATATGTCAGACACAAAAGCAATCAGCATCACCGACAGTCAGAATGAGAGCGCCAGTATCAAGGCCACAGACCGTAAATTACCTGCCGAAGGGCATAGGGGACAACTGGCACACGAACACCGAGAGACGGCCATATAGCAAATCAACATCGCCGTGACGAACGGGTCGCGGTTGGATGAACGACCCTGAATCAAGGAATGCAGACTAATGAATGTGAACGCGTGGCCAGCGCGTAACCGTGAGACGCGATGCAAAACCAGTAATATGTAGTAAAAAATAGAGAATGGCTCAACAATAAAGATTTTCGTGTCGCTGCACTGTCTTCTATCTGCTTAGCGGAGAGTCGCTTGTCTCACACTATGTATATTCGAAATGGTGACCCTCATGCCTTCGGCCACCGACTGATAGAAGAAAATATACATGTAAACATATAAAACTATGCTATTGAGCTGCTAAAGTTGTACTATGATCACTATCAGATTCCTGAGGAAACGCAATTAGCCCCCAAAAGGAAAGAAAGCTGTTGATTGAGTAGAGCAATGCATATATAAATAGGTATAAATAAATAAGTATATATGCAATGGTATCAGGCGAATGGTCAGGTTGAACGATTTCTCGATATGTTCAAACGGCCACTGATCAAAGGCTTGATGCATACAAAGCCTTCGCATAGTGTATCGCATCACTTCACATCCAGCGTGCAGTGGAAAGTCACCATCAGAGATGCTACTAGATCGACAGATCAGGTTTGTTTGGGACTCGATCAATCCTAATCGAAGACAAGTGTCAGGCCTGACAGGTACAGACGTGTCACAACAATAGCAGCAAGGAACCGTCAAGAATTCTAAAACCGGTGACCCGGTGTGTGCCAGAGATTATCGCCCATACAAAAACAAATGGGATCCTGGTGCATTTACTAAACAACTAGGCAGATTCGCCTACTTAAACGAGGACGAATGCGAAACCTAGCACCGCCAAATGAAAGGTCTGCGATTCCGTTGCAACAGCAACCACCCTCTACCGGAATAAAATCCCAAGCTAGGTTTTCAGTCACTATTTGAGGACGTGTCACTCTTAAAACCAACAGATGCAGATTCGGATCAATTCGAGCATACAAGCAGAGGTGATTCCAGATTTGGCTATGGTCCGCAGACAACAAGTACGGAATCGTTAATCAGCCGATCGTTTCATAGGGCCCAAAGATTGGAGGCCCCCGACATAAATGTCAAGAGAAGTTGTATGCGGAAGATCAATCAAATTGGTGCAGCCGTCCCTCGATGCCAAAGTTTGCCTGGTTTCAACTAGACTGTGTCACCGGCCAACCAAACATTGGTGATTCAAGTGCTATAAATCTGAATTTGTAGATCCTCAGGAACTTTGTAATCATCACAAAATTACAGCCACGCCCATGAGGTCTACAGTATTTTCCGTATTGCCAATTCAAGCAATATCACCAACTAAAATTAACAGGTACCCCACACAGCCAAAAAAACCGTCAGCTCACAGTGTCCTTGTTTCAATGTCCCTGACTCTGCTGATCTCCAAGACACTGCAACCACTTTATGTGAAGCATCCAATAAGAAGCCTCACATGATTATCCAGCATCATTCAGATTTAGTTCTACTGATACCCACATTGGAAACGTTGGCTGGAGAGCTTAGTACTATTAGAAAAATCCCTCACCTATTTAATGTATTCTTCAGTAGATAAATAGTTCGGCTTAATGTTTCCACCACTCCGAAGGCGTCCACTGCCTCCATTCTGGGTGCACCTTGTAAACCTACAGATCCCTTCCGAAATATCCCTCCTACCCATATACTTGAAAGACAAAATGAACGTTCCCTTTGGGAAATCTGGAGAGGCAACTCAATGTTATCCCTCCCCATCAAGCCTCCGGTCTTTTCATGAAATTTCTTACAGTGATTCAAACCTAAATTTCGTACCTTGTCCTTACTAACAAGTACAATTGGGTAGTGCCGAGTATTGTCCTAAAATAAATACAAAGCCCTCCATTAGCTCGAAGGATCTTTGCTCGTCGCAGCTGCCTTCACACCAGCTCATAAATATCCAAGCCAGGTGTCCTTTTGCTGTCGCCTGTCGATAGGCGACAGACAACCGGTTTGAAAACCCGAAAGCAGATACTTCCATTATCTGTCCTACATTAGCAACGACTACCAGTTTGGCCCCCAACTACCGCAGTGCTTGCAACTTAAATCGTAAATCTTCATCGCCAGAAATACAGCCCAACGTATTCAAACAGTTGGCGCGCCTATCTACTCAGACACAATTCATCAAATCACTTCTCTTCAATGTCCGTTCACTTCGTAATAAGATACACACATCCGTGACTAAGCGCAAGCGAATAACTCAATCACATTGAGCTGATTGCCTTCTGTGTGACACTATTCAATACAGAATTCTCGAGGCAGTCCGAAAAGCCTAAGCTTATTCAGATCCAGCGTTTCTCAACACAGCTGTGAAAGAATTTGTGATCTTTCAATCTGTGTTCAGCGCAGTGTTCAGATTCAATTAGCAGCTTCCAGTCACCCGCCCTTCCTTGTGACCTTGTCAGCCAGTGCCCCTGCATAACCCATCACACGGACCGCTCATTTGACCTTGCAACCACCACGCTCACCTGACCGAAGTGAGCCGCTCTCAAAGCTGAAAAAGTACAGAACGTTAACCAACCCACTGGGTCAGGTAACGACCAGGTTGAACGGCCGAAATGCGAATCCGAAAGGGCTTTAAGCGAAAGGAATTTGCGGGTTAAAAGAATGTCATCGAGTAGTTAAAATCGGTCTGACTTGCTCGCACTGTTTGGAATGGTATCATCCGAAATGTGCAAATGTGTTCCAACAACAGGTACGAGAGCGAAATAGATTCCAAAATGCACTTTGGCTCTGTACAACGTGCTCCACCATCTCACCCGTTAAGTGCTTGCTTATCCTAGTTCAGAAGTGCGACCGGTTAACCGCAGAAGACGAGCAGAGGATAAACGACAAGATTACTTTAATGGAAACCAGTATACACCACGGAAGCATAACGGATTCTAAGCAACGGAATGCTGCACAATTCGCTTCCGCTAAACCGCAATCAGCCACGTCCCCATCTCCGTTGTCTTCTCCAACTTTGGTAGAATATCAGGCGAAAACTAACCATACCTATGAGAGTCAAACCGTACTCATGGCAACTAAAAATCAGGCACCATTGGAAACGTCTGGTTGAGCAACTTCCACTAGACCTGACATCTAGCATTAACAAAGATGAAGCAGCCGAACACCAACCCACGGTACCTGTAGCTCAACTGTCTCTTGACAAGACAAAGCCCCCCGGAACATCAGGTACATATGCAGAGATTGCTGCGAAGGTCCGCCGGGAGGCCGCCGTTGCGGTCTCTTCTGTTGTAAACATCGTTAATGCGAATAGAGGGACAAACAGCAAACAATCAGCACTTGTCAGCAGGTCAAGACAAACGATTACCCTGCCTTGTAGATCAACGAAAAAGGGATCCAACAATAGTGCTCGGACTGTCGTATGCTCAAATGTACCAGAATCTACCGCCATCACATTGCGGGATAAGTTATCAGACGACCATCGATCATCCGAGCTCGCCACACTATGGAAAACCCAGACTTAATCGAGTAACACTAGAATCCTCCACCGACGTAGAAAACGTTCGCCCTCCGCAAGCACGCTAAAACACAGATCCTGTGGGACACGTATCTATCCTGATGTCCCTTGGAGCGCGCGACAACCAAAAAGAAACACCGACGAGGGGCACAGCGAGCAAGACCGCTTAAATACAATCTTCATACATGGCGTGTCAGAACATCCTTCTAACGATGTTCAAAGAGACCGGAAAGCACGATTTAGAACAGTGGCAGTTCATTCGTGAAACACTTTCTTTAGATAATATTGTGGCGCTATCGCTCACCAGGATACCTCTCACACCAAATTATAGAGGATGCGGCCCTAGAATCTTAAAACTTGTGGTTCAGTCAGAGCAACAAGCAACGGATGTTTTGGATCGATGGCGGAGAAATCGGAAAACTCTTCCTTCTGAACTTCGGTTAAAGGTCGCAGAAGCTTTGCAAAGTTCAAATATCAAAAAACGTGAAGCATCAAGCGTACCGACGAATGTACAGAGGCGTAACTTGTCTGCTGCTTTAATTGACTCTGACGTAGGTCTAAACGAAGAGTGGGACGCATCTTGGCCGAATCAAGTTTCAGACGAGGAATTATTATCCCATCGAAAAAAGCGAGTAACTGCCGACCTCCCATCGGTCGGCATTCTCCCACACTTGACCCTTTTAGCCCTCTGTGGGCTCCTAGAGACCGAGAAACTGGCCTGCTTGTATACGAATGCTCAGGGTCTTTTTAATAAACTGGTCGAACTGAAAGA